ACAGATACCCTACCTGGGACCTCCCGCTTGTGCTGCAGGCTCTGACGTCCCCCCCCTTTTGAGCCTCTGAGGTCGGTTACTTTGAAACATCTGTCGTTTAAGACCGCGTTTCTGTTGGCCATCACTTCCGCACGGAGAGTGTCGGAACTCTCGGCGCTCTCAATTCGGGAGGACCTTTGTATGTTCCGTGAAAGCGTAGTGATTCTCAGGCTTGATCCTACGTTCATTCCGAAAGTAAACACGTCTTTTCACTGGGCGCAGGAACTCTCTTTGCCGGACTTCTGCCCGTCTCCGCGGAACTCTACCGAACGGCGTTGGCATAAGTTAGATGTCAAACGGGCACTTCGTATATACATTCACAGGACTTCTACGTTTCGCCGGACGGAGACTCTGCTAGTTTCCTTTCACCCGGCCTCGATGGGACAGAAGATATCCACGGCCACAATGGGCAGGTGGCTCAAGGCGTGTATCTCCTTGGCGTATGAGTTGTCAGCGAGACCTGTTCCGGGGCGCATTCTACCGCACTCCACCCGCAGCGCGGCAACCTCCGCTGCATGGGCAACACAAGCTTCGGTGGAGGACATTTGCAGGGCTGCCACATGGTCCTCGGTGTCGCAGTTCATACGTCACTATCGGATTGACTCTTACGCTTCTTCGGATGCTGCATTTGGGCGGCGAGTCTTGCAAAGCGTAGTTTTGGACAAGGGGTTGGGGGCATCCAGTCTCCCACCCTAGTACTTGAGCTTGGGTATGTCCCAGCCATGGACAGTGGGAGCAGCACTCTGGAAAACGGACGTTGGCTTACCTGAACGTCCCTTTTAGGAGTGCTGCGACCACTGTCCATTCCCTCCCTTTGTTGTTCTGTTGTGTTCTGCTGTTGCAGTTTCTTTCAGACTGTCTGCCGTGATTTCTGGCCTGTTTGCATGGACTTGCTGTTGGAACTTTTCCTTGGAGTCTTGCTGTGTCTTCGTGATAGACTGGAGGATCATGGGATTGGAGGCGTGTCTTAACAGGGAGAGTTTTTACAGCTCTCACTCAGTTACTGTCAACATCTGAAGTGAAGATCCCAGCCATGGACAGTGGTCGCAGCACTCCTAAAAGGGATGTTCAGGTAAGCCAACGTCCGTTCTATCCCACCAGAGATGAACAACTGCCTCTTGTCAGCCTTTGAGACTCCCAGCACAATCAACAGTGCACAACCCATGCACCCATTTGCAATGTTGTGGTCCCTTCTGCATCAAAAGTCACTTGTGGGACAAAAGTTCTAGCGCACATTTAAGGATCCAGCAAATATTGTAAGTACTCAGTGTCTGTTATGTTTCAAACAAAAAAAAAAACAACTCATTGTTTTTGTGTTCAAGAGAGCATCAGTAAACTCTAATCAATTGATAGATTTTTAAAAGCTCACTTCAAACTAGCTACTAAATGACACAACGACCAGCCTTTCTCTCTTCTTCACTGAAAAACGTGAGCCAAAGAGGTACAATTTGCTTATATAGAATTCATTTGTATTTGGTCCGTTATCTTGATAACTACATGGAATTGATTATGTCTGCTATGGACACAAGATGCTTCTTACAGTTCTGTAAGAATTAAATACTCTAGGTAACAGAAATAGAAATGAAACAGCAAGTCATTCAACAAAACTCAGTTCTGTCAACTTATTTTCAAATCCATATAAATGACAGGACACTCAAGATCAAAATACAGAGGTTAATAAATAGGTTTACAAAACAATATAACAATTCAGATAAAGAAAAATGCCTCTAATGGTTAGATCTGTGTGTTTGGCATCACATCCAAGAGCTAGCTAGATGCTTCAAAGTTTGTTTCTTGGTCTACTGCTGATAAAGTGCATATGCGTATATTTTTTCATATACAGTAGTCGTCCTTGACTTACAACTTCTATTGGGCCCAGAATTCTGGTCGTAAGTCATTGCAGTCATTAAGCGAGATACCCAGGTGACCGCCTTGCTCGAAGACCACAATCTCAGTCCTCCAAGTGCAGCGGCTAAGCGACTAATGAGTCATTAAGTGGATGGATCGAAACAGTTGCCTGTCATGCGCAGAGATTCCAAAGACCCGAGCTTCATTTCTCCAGCTCACTTCAGACTTCCTCTTCCCTCTGTGTGCGGAAGGAAGCCACCATGCTGGACCAGAGAAAGAAAGCTTGGGTCTCCAAAGATCCTAGCATTTTTCCTCTCCCCCAGCACAGCTGCTCGTCTCCCCTGTGTGTTAGCCTCTCTACTCTTCAGAAACATTGCACTTGCTAGAGAATGTGAGTTTTCTGATTAATAGAAAGCCCGGAAAAAATAGAAAGCTAATAACATGATGTTTCTGAATGGTGAAAAGCTGTTAGCTTTTAGAACAATTGTGAGGGGGAAAACCCCCAGCTCTTGTGATCTTTCTGAAGGCAAGAAAGGCTGGAAAGAGCTTTGATTACTGTTTGGAAACATTGTGTTTTCTGATTTTTATGATTGGAAAGCTACGAACACTATGTTTCTCAATGGTAGAAAGATGATCGGATATTCAGAATGCAAACTTCTTTTCTCCACTCCAGTGCTGGAGTTTCCTTCTGCGTGCATGGAGGAGGGGGAGACTCTGGTGCTAGGCTGGAGAAAATCTCGAAGGTCTTTGTTTCTCCAGCCCCAGGCAGGATTTCTCCTCTACTTCCAGGAGAGGAGGGGAATCCCTTTTGCAGGCGACAGAGACCTGGTGGCTTCTGCTCTAGCTTTCTGGGGAAACCAGGAAGAGAAGATTGCAAATAGTAAGAGCAATAGCACTTAGACTTATATACTGCTTCATGGTGCTCTACAGCCCTCCCTAAGCGGTTTACAGAGTCAGCCTATTGGCCCCAGCAATCTGGGATCCTCATTTTACTGACCTCAGAAGGAAGGATGGAAGGTGAGTCAACCTTGAACCTGGTAAGATTCGAACTGCCAAATTGCAGTCAGCCAGCAGTCAGCAGAAGTAGCCTGCAGTACTGCACTCTAACCACTGCGCCACCACGGCTGACAATCACACAATCTCAGGACACTTAGCAACCTGTCGTAAGTGCAAAGAAGTCACCAACTGCCTGCTGCCCGAAATACCCTCATGGGACAGCAGAGATGGTGCGGCAGTCGTAACTTCAAGGATGGGTAGTATGTAATTTTGCTTAATAACTCTGAACTGTTATCAAGTGATGAGTTGTAACTTGAGGACTACTTGTATGTCTTTTCTCATTATTCTGATTAATGGCAAGAATTTTATAACAGCTTTTGATAAAGCATCAGAAGGAACAAAGGCGTTTCTCATCTTCCCCCAGTGAGGATGTCACAGAGGATGGCACATTCTGTACAACCAATGCAAGAACAATGCAGACCAGCTGATCTGACTAGCAATGTTCTCAAGTACTGGAGGCCATTCACCTAGTGCAGGGGTCTGCAACCTTAAACACTCAAAAAAGCCATTTGGACCCATTTCCCAAGAAAAGAAAACACTGGGAGCCACAAAACCTGGGTGGGTGTGGCCAACTTGATATCACTCACTCCCACCCAGTCACATGACACACACCCCAGCCACACCTACCCAGTGTGTAGATGTGGCTGGGGTGGCTCCCAGTGTTTTTTGTGGGAAACAGGTATCTCTCTCTCTGTCTCTTTCTCTCTCTCCTGTCTCTCTCCTCTCTCTCAGGCCATGCAAGGAGTGACTGGAAGGGGAGGGCGAGGGGTGGGGCCAGCCAGTGGTGGGTTCAACTGATAGGGAGCCACAGCAGGGGGATGAAAGAGCCACATGCGGCTCCGGAGCTGTGGGTTGCTGACACCCGACCTAGTGGTGCTGCTTACATAAACTGTTTGTATGTTACTATTATCTTGTGCTGGAGATACATTATCAATGTGGATGTTTATATATCTGTTGCTGTGCTTTTGGTGAGATGGAGGGGGTGGGCTATATAAATTGAATTAATAAATAAATCTGGTACAAACAGAAGATAATCAGGGACACAAATATTTTATGAATAATATACTTATCCATGTAAACTATTAAAGTAACCATAATACTATGAATAAATACTATGATAATCAAGTAGCAAAAAGACTGAAAAAATAAAATTGCAATAGTGAACAAAACGGTTCAATACACATAAACTCTTGCTGCCTCTAAGAGATGCTTGTCCTTTGCATTCACTCAGCTACAAGTAACCAATATCTTCATATTCAACATACTAGTTCATGCATTGGTATAAGTCCCACAAAAACATTTAAATGTGCCTGATGTATCAAAACACTTAAATATTTCCTTACCATCAAATACCATATTTTTCTGATTATAAGACGCACCGGAGTATAAGATGCACCTTAGTTTTTGGGGAGGAAAATAAGAAAAAAGCTGATTGGGGGTGGATCGGCCTCCCGGAATACCCCCAATCAGCTGTCCCCAGAGGTGAACTTTAGCAACAGGTTCCTTGGTTGTGAGCTCGGAGCCTTGCTTTTTTCCCAGCCTCTCAAACCTCCCTTTCAGAGGCTTTTTTCCAGCTTCTCAAACAGGTTTCAGAAGCAGAGTGGGGCTACATTCGGACTATAAAACGCACCCAGATTTTCACCCTCTTTTTTCGGGTAAAAAAATGCGTCTTATACTCCAAAAAATACGGTAAGTGAATCAATCTTAATTTAAGCTATATAATGGGTTCAAAATATGGATTTATATTACTCAAATGGCAAGCAAGCTTTAAAAGAGATTTTTCAAAAAAGAGAGACACACGCAAAATTTGGACAAGAAAACCAGTGTTTGGATCAATGACACAATGATTCTGTCTAATCAACAGAAATTTAGCCCTGTGCAATTCCTGATATATTGTGCCTCCAGTAAAAAAATAGCAGCTGTGTACATTAATTTAAGCATGCTCACCTTATACCTATTTAGATCCAGTGTTCCTTTGAGCAAGTACATTCCACTAACAGATTCTTCTAACTCCCCCACTCATGTAGCCCTTGACAAGCATCTCCAGAATGTTTTTCCCCCCCCCCCCCCGGAATAATGCAGTTACTATACTGGAGGATTAAGGGTGAAATTAATAAAAATGATCTCCCTATTCTCATTCAAATATCCAGACCGTCAAAAAGCTAGCAATTTTTGGGGTTATCGGGACGCGGCAAGTTTGTTGTTTCCAGTTGGAAGTGCCAAAATATTAAAAACACAGTAATACAAACAGCTGGAATACCACAAAAATCATCTAGAATAGATACACCTCAAAGTGCTAAAACAACAATGCTGAAATCACAGTGTATCTTTGTTCTTATCTAAATTCCTGTAAGATCATGCAAGGTCTTTGCTAACTTCCTTACATTTTGCATTCTGGCAGCAGCCTGCGTTTCCTATAAAATGAATCTAAAAGTAATCTCCAAAGTTGTAACAGTTAATTGAGGAGTCCTAATTAGAATTGCCATTTCTATAAATAAATCAGTGTAACAGACATTAGAAACAAAGCACATTGTAAAAAAAAAACAAAAAAAACCCCCACTCTCTAAAACAGCTAGTATGGAAGCAAGATTAATATTCCAAACAACAAACATTTTCCTATGAGAACTCCAAATATGTTATCAGTATTGACTGGATAGGCAGCATACAAATCTAGCCCTCCCTCTATTCAGGATCGCAAAAAAGGTAAGAATATTAACCAGCGTGGTCTGCAGCATGTTTGTCACCAATACTACTACTTATTCAACAAAACTGAACTCAAAGCTGACTGTGAATCTAATGCAGAGATAGTTTTTGCCCATAGGAGAGCTCTGTAACCTTATGAAGATTTCTTTTCTCATACAAATTTTCCCCATTTTTCACCCTTCCATTTTTCAAGAGAGAGAGCAAAAAATAATGGTCCTGGCACCACACCATGTTATGGTTTGGAAGAAAAAAGGAGGAATGCATTACAAAAGAGGTGAGGAAGGGAGAGAAAAGGAGCAGCTGACTCCATATAATATTCCTAATCAGGCAGTGCTATGTCTGCCCGAGGATGGTATTTGAACGCCCCCATAAATGGCTTTGTGCAGTTAATGGAAGAACTGCCTTCAAGCCTCAAATTACAAACCTGGTAACGATTACTATTACACAGGACTATACATACTTTTTCAGGGACTACTAAAAAGAGTAATCAGTTAACAGTTACCATGAAAAGTTCCTCCACCCTGCTTCTTGATGCTATATATATATATATATATCAAAGCAGGAATGACTGCTGAACTTGGCCCAGATTTTGGGATACACCTCAAAAGTCTAGCTTTTTATTATTCCTGTGCCGTTCGTAAAAGCAGGGATGGTACAGCCTTTGTGAGAGCCAGGATCGTAGTGCAAGGTTTTCTTCAGCAAAAGCCATGCTGAACTACCATTACTAGTTAGCAGGCCAAACCTGGATCAAGACCTATGTGTCTTCATCCATTTGATCTTTTGTTGGCTCCTGTTCAGACGCACTGGACACGTCGTCGTCTGTCTGTTCACCTGAGTGATAGAGCATCAGCGCGTGGGTCTTGTGAGTAATAGTGATGGTGCAAGGGCCTTGTGCCCAGGGTTCCCCATCCACCTGCATTGGCATCTTTGAGTTCTTCAAGATCAACTGAAATGGAAAAACAAAGGAGAAGTTAAGTCAGGATAGGGGACTGTGGAATCTGACAACTAAGACAGTCCAGGATACTGCTTTCACACAGAACAATAATAGCAATAGCACTTAAGACTTACATACTGCTTCAGAGGGCTTTTTACAGCCCTCTCTAAGCAGTTGACAGAGTCAGCATATGGCCCCCAACAATCTGGGTCCTCATTTTACTGACCTCGGAAGGATGGAAGGCAGGGTCAACCTTGAGCCGGTGTGATTTGAACTGCTGAACTGCTGGCAATCAGCAGTCAGCAGAATTAGCCTACAATACTGCATTCTAACCACTGCGCCACCACAGCTCTATGCTAAATATATTTAATATGCACTAAACAATGTATTTAATTCTCCTCTATTAATACTCCCCTATTCAGGGGAGTAACCAAACTAGTGGAGGAATGAACAAATCCCTTTCCCATGGACTCTTCAGGTTTGCATCTGTTTTATAATTTATTATTAGAATTTTATGCCTTTATTACTTTATAAGCACCTTAAGGCAGTGAACAGACCTAATCTCCTTCCTTCCTCCTCCTATTTTTCCCCACAACAGCCCTGTGAGCCCTGTGAGCCCCCACAACAGAGGCCCCTTTGTAACCAACAGAGGAAGGCAGCAAGGTGGCAGAAGAGGCTTCTGTCACCTTGCTGGAACAATGTCTAAACTCTTCTGGAGAGAGAAATAAATAAGGAGATTTTGGAGAGGAGAGAGTTGAATGAGACAATAGTCTGCTCTGAACAATAAACAAGAGAAATGACTTCATTTTAGAAAAAGCTTTAGGAAAGTATAAGCATTCAAGCAACGTTTTTGTATTGAGTATATGATTATGTCTCAGTGTGAGGTAAATATTGGTTGGACTGTTAGAGAAAGTGGACTTTCTTGGGTACCAACAGAAGAATGTACACTGTTAAGAGAAGACAGTGGGTATGTCCTTCTTTTTCTTCTTTCTGGACTAGCTTGGCAAGTTTTGAGTGACATTCCAAATGAATTGGCGTTAAGATCCTGTGCTGAATATAAGATTATCTGCACTAGAAAGTCAATCAAGGCATCAAAGGGCATTATCCCCATTTGCCTCCATATCCACCAAAAATTAATTAAAAACATGTAAGCCAAACTCCAAAGTGTTTTGTCATGCACCTGCCCCAGAGCTACAATCTCTTAATGTAATACGGAGGTTTCCTGGTTTGGTCTGTCTGTTTCCAAGAGCAATTAAACTAATGGGTGGTGAAGTCAGCCTCCATGCCCTGCCTTTTCCCCAACACATTTTGTGTTTCATTATTGGGCTCCAAATAAAAGGTTCAATCCAGAGTATGGAAAACAGCCACAGAGATATACAACATACCCGTACTGTATGGGCCTGTCCCAACCGGACAGGATTTGCAAGCTTCACTTGAATTTGTGCACAGTGAAATGAGCCATTGACTCCAACGACTTCCAGCAGTCCATCATCATGCCTGAAGTAGGATAAGGAAAGTTTAGGATCAGTAAAAACGTCCTGGACCCAACTGTCAAAAAGGTTATCTGATTATGTGTATCACAGCCCTGCCATAGTAAATAGCAACCCCCACCCCTCCCCAGACTGAGAAGATATGCTGAGAAACCCAAAAGGATAGGTATGGCCTAAATTTTGCTTCCCAATCCAACTTCTCAAGTCTCTACTTGCAGAAAAGTGTTTAAAAGTCAGAAAGAAAAGGAGGTAGAAAATTGAAATGATGATCTAGATCAGGGCTGTCAAACTCTTGGCCCATAGGCTGGATGCGTCATACGCTGGCCACACCCACGCCTGGTTTAGGGAAGGGGGAAAAAGTCCCGATACGTCACGTGATGCCGCCGTGACGACTTGAGTTTGACACCCCTGATCTAGATGCTATTACCTGGCAAGAAAAAAGAAGTGTGAACACCAGGCCAAGAATTGGGGATGGAACAAATTATTCTGTGGGATCCTCGGGACATTCGGAGCTTGGGGTTGTTTTTTTGCAAATTTTTCATTACTAAACTAGGTAACTTCATCAGTGCTATCTCTTCTATTGGAACAAATTATTCCTTTTTAAGATGGCCAACTAAATGACCAACTAAAAGATCCCTGAAAGGTTTCACCCTGGCTGTCGCCTTTTCAACTTACCAATAGAAGGAACTGGCATTCCTTTAGTTTTTATGACTCTCCTGGGTTAGGGAAAGTCCTAGAATCATCCCACAAGATCCTCCATATAGCAAGTAGCTTCAGGAGCTGTACTTTTGTTGTTACACTTTGAAGCAGCTTTCGTGCTGACAGCTGAGGGGGCAGGGCTGCAATCAGTTGTTGAAGAAGCAGCCATTTTGGAATTTATTTTTCAAATGGTCAGTAAGTTCTGCCTTTCATTTCTTAAACATTTTTAAGGACTGTTATCTTTATTAAACTAAGAGGCTCTCTTTAGCCACAATCTGTTATTCCTTTTTGAAGATCTGTGCCATTTTGGGTGTTTTCTTCATTGTTAAACAACAAGGAAAAGGGCTGCTAAGGCAAGCTAAAATAAGGAAGTATGAAGTATCTTTTTAAAAATACTGAGCTATACAACTATCAGATGATCCTGCTTGGTTGAATCACCCCTGATACAAGGCTCTCCAAACCTTCCCAACTGTATATAATTGATATGCACTTATTACTAACCTACCTTGCTGGAGGATAAAGTTCATCCCCCATTCCTTCCCATAGCCGACAGCCACCTCCCCAGTAGGCAATATTTAGCACTATGATCCCCTCCAAACTGGGCAAGTCGATCTTCTCTCCATCCAACTCTAGCTTTAAAGATATACAACAGGGTGTTAGTAAGTTACACCTGTGAGAATGAATTCAAAATGTTAGCCATCTGGGGCAAATCAGAAGGGAACATAAAGGAAAGCGAGCAATCAGTTTGTATGGCCTCTGGGATCACCCACTGTGCTAAGCCAGAGATAATCATGATTTGGGAAGCATGTCTCCATCAAACCACTACCAATTTTGCAAACATGCAAAATAATACTAGCTTATTTGGCCAATTATTCTTTTGCTTTCCCTTGTTTTTTTTCAAACACTGCTTTTGCATTGTCAGGGGCCTGACTGGAACACTAAACAAACTGGGAAACTCCATGAAGCCTGGCCTGTTATGGAAGAGCAATTTATTTATTGACCCCATTCATACCTCATGCCAAGCCAGAAACAAACCAATCACATTTTGATTTCATATAAAGGGTGATTCTCCCATGTAATTTAAAATGAATTGATCCAGGAAAGTTTCATGTATATGGTTACAAAAGCAAAAATAAGCACAAGTGAGCATCCAAGGATTGCTGTCTAGGACAAAGAAGAATCCTTACTTAAAAAGCTACTAAACATACTTATTGATGCCCATCTGCTCAGAATGCCACTAAAGCCCTTCCATGTACTGTACATTCTTGATTTAATGTATGTAATTTCTGATTCCACCTCCTTATAAATGACAAGATATTTCTAGGGAAGAGAGGAAACAAATTAAATTTCTAGGGAAGAGAGGAAACACGGTTATCTTACCTCAATCTTTTTGTTTAGATCCTTACATTCCTGAACTAAGCAATCTTTGGTTCCATAAAAAAAATACACAGCCTACAAAACAAAGAAACAAACAAACAGAGGTGGGATTTCAATGAAGGAGAAGCCTGGACAGATGGCATTTTTCCGTTACAGAACGCACCTAGTTTCCAAATTCTTTTGAAGTGCATAGAATTTTTGCATAGAAATATTTTGAAAGAGCTAACTACCATGAACCATTTTTTAAAATTCTAATGCAAAGGGATAGAAAGATCCTCTTTCTTTCTACAAGCTACTCGGTTGTATTTTTCACTCCACCCCCACCCCCCACCCATATCCCTGGCCAGATGAAACAATGCACGTCACCACTAGTGATTCTGAAAAAAAACACCCCCATTTTCTGGAATTTCCTAATTATGGGACCATCCACATTCCAGTTATATAACCTTTGTGAGATATAAGACCCAAATATTTTAATCCTCACAATTCATAAATAAGTTTGGTTCACAAAATCAAAGGTTTATTGGAGATAAAATGAAGAAAAATAAAAAGCGGTGGCAAGCGCGACCTCTTAGACCCTTCCCAAATGGATTGAGTTCAAAGAGCACAAGAAGCAGCTTTCAAGCTACACATTTTATACTCCTACACAATGCACACCATGCGTAAGAATCCTTCCCAACTCCCCTTTATTGTCCTAAGTCATTCTTCAAGTTGTTTTACACTTTAAAGGGTCATCTTGACATTTCCTGCCTAACAACAACTATCTTATCATGTTTACTTTTAACTTCATCTTGGGCGGATGTTCCTTTTTACTGATAATGGTTTTGCCCAAGGCGTAGGTTCCTGTCTCCAAGGGAGCTTTTAACAAGTCATCACATACTGTTTCACTGAATACAATTTGTGGTCATTTTATAATAGTAAGTGTCAGCATTCTGATGCTGCCATGAAAAGGAGGAGACGAGGCTTGACTTTTCACCTACTTATTTTCTCTGTAGATAATATCCCCTAGGAGATGGGATGGGAGGGGGGACATTCCTATGGGGTGAGGTCAGAAGCTGGGGAGACTGACTTGGAAGATGGCTAATGAGAAGATGAGAATTGGGGAATGGAAAGGGAAGGGTTTGGGGGTCAGAGGGTTAGTATCGGCTACGACGAAGTCGGGGCCAGATCTGTCGTACTCAATAAATGGAATATTTCAGCAAAGATTAATTGTTTGGGAGTGCAATTTATTTGAGATGACATCGAAACCTGACAGTAAGAACATCATAGCTTTTTAATACATTACACTTTATAAAAGAGTAACCTGTTATTCATTTCCTTCACCTTTATATTACATCTTGAAGATTTCCTTCATAGTAGAACTTGTGAACTCTTATCTTATGAGTCAAATTGCATTGATAACAATATACAGGTAGTCTTCACTTAATGATTATCACCACTTGCAACCATATTGGGCAGACTCCATTACAGTTTAAGTCAAGGAATACCATTGTTATGCTCCTCTCAGACGGAGATAAACTAAGAATCTCCTGAATTAGAGACAGTCATAAAAACCACAGAATCCCATCAGAGAAAATAAATGCGTATCTACAAGAAGATTGGATAAGATATATTCTCCAGAATGTACAGTAATTTAATGTAACAATCAAGACTACTGAACTAGGACTAGACTATTACTGGTAACTTTCAGCTAGTTACTTCCTCTAAATACTGTAGGGAGAAAATGGGTACAGTTTTACTATATGTATTTAGTTGACTTATTTGAATGAAGGACAGGTACATTCAGGTAGTCCTTGAATTACAATGATTCATTTAGTGACCATTCAATGTTACAAGGACTGAAAAAAGTGATTTATGACTGTTTTTCACAGTTATGATCGTTGCAGCACTCCCGCAGTTACATGATCAAAATCTGAATGCTTGGCTCATATTTATGATGGTTGCAATGTCCCGGGGTTATGTGATTACAACCTTCTGATAAGCAAAGTCAATGGAGAAGCCAGATTCATTTAACAACTGTGTTACTAACTTATCAACTGCAGCAATTCACGTAACAGCTGTGGCAAGAAAGGGCATAAAATGGGGCAAAACTCATGTAACCGCTGTCTCGCTTAGCAACGAAAAATTTTGGGCTCAATTGTAGTTGTAAAAGTTGAGGGCTATCTGTACCAGAATTTTTGGCCCATTCAACCTACCTTGTTGATAATCCTGCTAGTAAAAAGAGATGGAGTCTTCTCACGGTGCGCATGGAAGTTTAAAGCCATGAGGGCATCTGGCCCTACCGAAAAATAGTTATTCATTGTGAATACCTGCAAAGATGGGGGAAGGGGGGGGGAAGAGAGAGAGAACACCAACCATCAATAATCAATGCAAAACTGTAGCAATTGAATTGTTTACAGCAAATGGTCAAATTCTTTTGATTGGAATTTATGCTCCCAACCAACAACAGGATTATTTTTACAAGATGTTACATACTAAAATATTGCAATGGGACTACAGATCTATTTTAATCATGGGAGATTGGAATGGAGTAATTGATTCTAAATTAGATAAAAAGAGCTTGGCAAAGTCTAGAATTAGATTACCACAGACCTTTTTTGATATGAAAGAAGATATGGAACTAAAAGATGTTTGGAGAATACATAATCCAAATGAATTGGATTACACTTTCTTTTCTGATAGACATAGATCCTTTTCTAGGATTGATTTTATCTTGTTGTCAAATGATCTACTTGTTAAGACAAAAAGAACAAAGATTTTTCCAAGAACTTTGACTGATCATAGTCCTGTATGGATAGAAATCGAGATGGATAAGGTTGAGAGACGTTCTTGGAGATTAAATGAGAACTTGTTTAGATATGAAAAAAATATAATAGAACTTAAAAAGCATTTGAAAGAATTTTTTGAAATAAATTTGAATAAAGGTACCCCAGTTGAAATTGTTTGGGACGCAAGTAAAGCTTATATGAGAGGGGTACTTATCTACATGAATTCTAAACATAGACTGTTCCGACAAAAGAAAAGATCTGAGTTGGAAATGGAAATAAAGAATAAAGAACAGTTACTTATTAAAAACCCAACAGATGAAAGAATACGAAGTGCTATAAAACTTTTGAAAGACCAATTCCAAATGCTTATGGCGGAACAAGTTGCAACAAGCTTACAATACGCGAAGCATAATACATTTTGCAATGCTAATAAACCGGGCAGATGGTTGGCCTACACATTGAGGAAAAAACAAAGTATACGGACTATTGACAGTATTGATATTGGAGGGAAAGAAATCTTTCAACAAAAATTAATTAAAGAAGCTTTTGTGGATTATTATACTAAACTATATGCTAAAGAAGAGGTGCAGAATGGACTTATAGAAAAATATTTAAAGGATAAGAGAGTTACAAAAATTACTGATCAACAAAAGGAAAGAATGAATTATCTTATAACAGAGGAGGAGATAATAGCAGCAATTAAACAGCTAAAAACAGCCAAAGCTCCTGGCACGGATGGTTTGACTGCAGTGTATTACAAAACTTTACAAGCTGAAATGGTGGGACAACTTAGAGATTTATTTTGCAATATTCAACAAGGGGGTAAAATACCCCCATCTTGGACAACTGCTTATATATCTTTGATACCAAAGGAACAAGTTGGTCCTAAAAAACCAGAGAACTACAGACCAATATCTCTTTTGAACACAGACTATAAAATTTATGCGAAGGTATTAGCCAACAGGTTGATGCCAGTAATCCAAAAGGTGATTCATGAGGACCAAGCGGGATTTATTGAGGGCAGATACATGAAGGACAATGTAAGGCAAGTAATAGACTTATTGGAATATCTTGATAAGAATAAACAGATTTCTGCAGTGCTGGTTTTTTTGGATGCGGAGAAGGCCTTTGATAGAGTGGATTGGAATTTTCTACTAAAGACTTTAAAAAAGATGGGCTTTGGGGACCAATTTATACAGGCAATCTCAGCAATTTATCAAGAGCAAAAAGCACAGATTATTATTAATGGAAGTTTGACGACAGAGTTTAAAATTGAAAAAGGAACAAGACAGGGATGTCCGTTGTCCCCACTCTTATTTATTTTAACATTGGAAGTCTTGCTAAATACAATACGGGACTCAAAAATTTTGAAAGGTATAATGATAAGGCAAGAGGATTATAGAATAAAGGCATTTGCAGATGATCTGGTGGTTACCCTATCACAACCAATGGAATCAATAATCCTGATGAACGACATTATACAAGACTATGGTAGAGTCTCAGGTTTTAGACTGAATTCAAAAAAGACTAAAATGATAATCAAAAATATGACACAAGATCGTAAACATGAGCTTGAAAGGAGGGCAGGTTTTGAAATTGTACCTAAGGTAAAATATCAGGTTGCAGAATCAAATATGAAATTGTTTCAAAATAACTATGAGGTGTTGTGGCGAGAGGTTCAGAAAGACATGGAGACTTGGAAAAAGCTGCAACTGTCTTTACTTGGAAGAATAGCAGCAGTTAAGATGAACATTTTGCCAAGATTTCTGTTTTTGTTTCAAATGATTCCGGTGCTTAAAAGTGATAAACAACTGAAAGTTTGGCAAACTGGACTTAATAAGTTTGTCTGGAACGAGAAAAAGCCGAGAGTGAAATTGAAAATTATGCAAGATGTTCCAGAAAGAGGAGGCCTTAAACTTCCAAACCTGCAGTTATATTATGATGCAGTAGCTTTAACTTTAACAAGTGATTGGTTTGGAAGTAAAAAGGCTGGAATATTGAATGCAGAAAGTTTTGATCTTGAATTTGGATGGCATGCTTACCTATTTTATGATGACAAAGTTGATAAAGTATTTAAAAGTCATATACTTAGAGACTCTTTGATGAGAGTTTGGAAGAAGCACCGACTCAAATGGGATTATAAAATACCGCTATGGCTGGATCTTGGTCATACCTTGTGGAATACAAATATAATGTCACTCGGGGGGTTTTTATATAAAGAGGTTCTTTTTACAGATGCGGGCAGATGGCAGCTGAAGACATTGCAGACACTGTTGGATGAAGGGATTAATTTAACCTGGTTACAATATAATCAATTACAATTGAGATGGAAAGAGGACCAAAAAACTGGTATTATGTTGCATGAGGAAGAATTGGTTAGACATATAAGAGAGAAAGGTCCAATGCATATTAAAAGGCTTTATAATGTTTTGCTAGAAAGGGATTCAGAAACGGAATTAGTTAAAGATTGCATGATTAAGTGGGCACAAAATTTTGAAGAACCAGTGATGTTGGAAACATGGGAAAAAATTTGGGTTCAGAATGTTAAATTTACACAGTCGCAGAATCTGAGGGAAAATTTTTATAAAATGTTTTATAGATGGCATCTAGATCCTAAAAAGTTGTCATGTATGTACCCTAATGTTCAGCCAAAATGTTGGAGATGTGAATGTTTGGATGCTACGTATTATCATGTTTGGTGGACCTGTAGGAAAGTTAAGGCTTTTTGGATAAAAATTTGGTGGGTCATGCAGAATGTATTGAAGAAAAAAATTCAATTTTCTCCACAGTTGTTTTTATTGGGTATAGTTAAGGGTTTTACACGGGGTGAAATAAAACTGATATTGTATATGATAACAGCAGCAAGATTGTTGATAGGTAAATATTGGAAGAATGAAGCTTTGCCCACTATCGAGGAATGGACTTCGAAGATGGCCAGTTTTGCAGAGATGGCGAAGATTTCAGCATATTTAAAAGATTGTTCACAAGAGACTTATGAATGGGAATGGAAAAGGTGGATAGAATATGTTCAGAACAAATATCAAATTAGAAAGTATCAAATAGCTTTTATTTGAAAGCAATGTATTAGAAATATCTTAATGTAAAGAGATAAAGAGGGAAAATTATATAGGGGGAGGGATGGGTTCAGGTATATATATCAGTGTTATTAGTTATGAGTACATAATAGGGAAGTCCGGGGGGGGAGGGTTAGGGAGGGTTAGGGAGGACGGGAAGTTTGGGGAGGGAGGTGGGGGGGTGAAAAAAAAAAAGGGTGAAAATGTAATTGTAAAACTTTTGCAATAAAAAAAAAAATAATCAATGCAAAACTGGAAAAGAATAAATTTTCAAAAAAATTGTAAGTTTTGCAAAACACACACACACATCAAGGAACACTATTTGGGGTTTTTTTTGTGTGTGTTTTTTTAAAGACCTGGGGCTTAAGTAATGCCATGAGGCTGATGAAGGAAGTCCAGTCAGGTCATGCAATGTTCTTTTTGAAGAATGTGTGTGGATCTGAACATTCTGTTCTGTATTCTGCTCAGCACTGCTATGGCTTACCGACATTAAAGGGAAAAAAAATATTATGTCTCTTTGCAGATAAGGCACAGCAGGAAGACTAGACCAAATTTTAGAACTATTCTCTAGCAGAGAATAGGACGGTTGAGAATTATCCCCTCTGATAACAGGGTGGGCTGGGGTGGGGTGGGGTAGGGCATCCCTGAACTAGCAACATTCTTCTCTTCTCCTGAAATGTCACAAGTTCAGACTAACATGGATATTTCCCATCCCCAAACTGTCAATAACAAGCCTTCAGAGGAAAAAAGGTTAACGTACTTTCTTCCCTGTCAGCTGGCAGAAATAGCAGATAATCTACCTTTTTAGTACCTCACACTAGGATTGCTCTAAATTTAACCCAGTTCTCCTGAATATGCATACTTGCTTAAGAATCTTGCTGGATCCAAGAATCCCAGAATCTAGCAGGTGCAAGTGGATCACCAGAAGTTACCCACCTACCCATAGAGGATCAGGTTCTTATATTATGGCATTTTAATCACTATACAAAAACATTTCCAAGCCTTACCTTCAATTTTCTTAAATTGTAGTATCCTTTGTTTATTACCTGAACCTTCCACCTAAGAGAGAATACACAGATTGGCATCTTACATGGCAAAACAAGCAGAAAACAAAGAGCTAACAATGGCATCCTGAATAAATTGCAATGATTTTTAGGGGCAATGATAATTGTTGAACAATTTTTTCCAAAACATTTTGAGGACTTCCTGGGTTCATTTTGTGACTACTTGGGAGTGGCAGGCCCTTATAGTTGCCACTTGAATGGGCTGATCTAGTGACAAATGTTTATCTTGGTGGGCACACCTTGCCATATAACCCTTTCAACAGAAGGCAAAACTGCAAAGATTGTTCCTTGCTCCTTTTCTAGCTTCTCAAGATGTTTGCTTCAATTCTTAGAATAACATTGTCTTTTTATGGGGATGTGGGTACTTTTCTATATTTTTATTTTTTTAAAAAAATACCTATCTGAAGCCCAGAGAAATTCTTGTAAGCAAAGATGGTGCTGAAAATTGTTGTGTGGTTTTACAAGATGTTGGCTTTTAATGTATTTAAATGTAGAATCTAAAATATTAATTAAAGTCAGGTGAGGCAGGAAGACCAGCAGCTGTGAATGGAGATGACCATGGGCATCTTAGTAATCTAGGTGCCACACACCGCCTACCTATGTACAATACTATCCTTTAATTTTTGTTCATTAAGAATGGATTAGCTAGCATAATGTTGCTTTTTGTTTCAGAGATCCCTGAAAATAATTCCACCTTGACTGTCAGGGTTATAAACACAGACTTGGAGGAAACATTATTAAGCAGGAAATGGAAAGCTTTGGTAGGTCACAGACCAAGCTGTCTTAGACTCAATTGGCAGAATCCCAAATGTCCTGCATGATAAAAAAAAAACCCACCAAGGGGATTTTTAAAATTTATTTTGTGCTTATATATAACATGATATATATGGCCTAAAACAATATTAGAAACAGAATCATCAATGCAAGAAATATTCTAATGCCAGTGCAACTATAATGTAAACCTGTATTTAATGAGAAAGAAAGTTCTTCCAGCTTCATAAAGAACCACGCGAAAGCCTGTTCTAAATTTCAAGAGATTGGATTCCAGATCCAATTCAAGGAAGATCTTTTTCTTTTTTTTTTGGGAAGGCAGGAGCTGGAATTTGAGAGAGATTTTGCTTTCAAGCACTCACCTGTCCAACCGGATTTCATCTGCATCCATAATGTTATGTAGAATCTGCTCCGCTGGAACTTCCCCGGCATAGCCAGCGCCCCAGCCGAGGGTATTTGATAGATCATTACCTGTGCCAAGGGGTAAAATTGCAACCCGAGGGACATACCTTTCCTGTCCCTGTGAAGTAGAAGCATTAATTCGGGGTTAAGAGTTGAGATTTTATATGCCTGGCTGCCTAACATCTTTGATTCTTGAAATTTCAGAGACAGCTTGAATTGCCACTAATTGCAATTCTGCTTCAAGGATTCTTCCTTAACAGCATGGCTGGGCTTCTAAGGAAAAACTATATACCTAATAATATTTGCAAAGCTTGGTGAGGCTTCAGCCTAAACAGGAACCTGAAAAAAAATTATATTTGACTTTTATCCCACTTTTATACTTTGTAAGTAACTCAAGATGGCAAACATATCTGATACTACTTTCTCATCCTATATTTGCCACAACAGCCTCAGGCTGGGATGAAAAAGAGTGACAGGTCCAAAGTCACCCAGCTAGCTTTTGTGCCTAAAGCGTTTCCCAATTTTTAGGCCAGGATCTTAACCATTAGAACAAACTGGCTCTTAGAAGCAACCCTTTTGCATTAATATTTGGTTTAGGGACAAGGTTTTTCTTGGCTGAACATATCACTTGGGGTGGAAACCCATGTTGTAATCTCAATTCTGGGTGTGTGATGAATCAGCACTTAAAGACTCTGCGCTTGTCATCTGGAAAGTGGATAGCCTGGATTCAAGACCTGAGCACCACACAATAGGGTGAGCTCCTGTTCTGCCCACATAGCAGTTCAAAAGCATGCAAATGCGAGTAGATTAATAGGTACCACTTTGGTGGAAAGGTAATAGTGTTCTATGCACCTTTGGAGTATAGTCATGCTGGACACAAGACCATGGAAAAAGTCTTCAGACAACGCTGGCTACCTCAGCCAAGAAACGATGATGAGCACTGTGCCCAAGAGTCGGAGATGACTGCACAGGGAAACCTTTACCTTTATACTCCATTTTAATTTTCAGGAAATTAGCATACTTTAAATAGCAAATTTTAAAAAATGGTCTGACACAGAAAAGAGGACAGAACATCTTGTAGAAAAAGTATGCTTCAAAACACACATTTCAGTCATGGGGGGGGGGGAAATGGAGTTTTATGGTAAAGCTATTATATTGCTGCATTATCCTGACAATATTGTACTGGAAGAGATGTAATGCATTGGCAAAGAAGCAAATCTGTGAATAACTAAGAACAGGGGTTGCCAAGGTATTCTGAAACACCATACCTTTATTTTCATGCCATCAATTGCATCCAGGACCCAACCCACCGTGCCATCTCCACCACAAACAAGGACTCTGGCAGAATTGCTAGGTAGCCAGGTGCAAAGCTGGAGTGCTTTTGCCGGAGCTGTTTTGGTTAGGTCAAATACCTAAAAATACATTTTAAAAAATATTTAACTACATGACACTGTAGAAAGCATTTTTTTCAGATTAAATAAATTTCTACAAATATAGGTTCTGATTAATCTAACCTAACCTAACCTAACCTGACCTGACCTGACCTGACCTAACCTAACCTAACCTAATCTAAAAAAATTAGACAGTGCCCATCTCACTACCAAGTGACTCTGGCCACAAGCCATAAAACCATATAAAAGAGACACACTTTAGTTAAAAACAGAATTAAAAAGGAAGAACAAAATAAGAACAGGGTTAAAAGAGAAGTTAAAAAGTGGAGGGTGGGTTCTCAAGCCACCAACCACCCCCAGAGTTGTGCATCACTTTCTGATCCCCACACCATTTGGCAGAAGGTGAGACTGGGGGCCAGCCTCACCTCTGGGGACAAGGTAGCCCATTAGGTTAAATGAGGCCTATTCATCTAAGCCATGCTCTATCTATATGACCTTAAAAATGACAGAGGAAAATTATTTTTGTTCTATGGATTATTCTTTGCAGTCTTGTGCCATTTGTTTAAATCTTGTGAGCAACAGGGCTGGTCACCATGTAGTCTCCAAAACAATTGGAAAAACATTTTTCAAATGATATGGCATATTTGCAAGGTATCGTTGTACTGCACATGTAAAATGATAACTAATGGTCACTATATTTATTTATTTAGAACATTTATATATCTGCGGAATTCATTCTCGGTGTCTCCAGGCGGCTTACAGAAATAAAACTCCAAACACAAGCTCCAATCAATATAACCTTAGCCCCTTGCAACAACAATTAAATAAACCACTTGATTGGCTCTATATCATTCTGGGGTCCCTAAGCCCGCTGGCAAAAACTATTCTCTTCAGGGCCTTTTGAAAGAGCACTAAGTATCAAGTACAGGAAGTCCTGAGTTTACAAAAGTTCATTTAGTGACCGTTTGAAGTTACAACGGCACTGAAAAAAAAGTGATTTGTTACCGCTTTTCACACTTACGACTCTTGCCGTATCCCGGTGATCAAAATTTAGAGGCTTGGGAACTGGCTCATATTTATGATGGCTGCAGTGTCCCAAGGTCATGTGATCATCTTTTACCACCTTCTGACAAACAAATTTAAATGGGGAAGCCAGATTCGCTTAACAACTTGTTACTAAGTTAAGAATTGCAGCAATTCACTTAACAACTGTAACAAGAAAGGTCATAAAATGGGGCCAAATTCACTTAACTGTCTCGCTTAGCAACATACATTTTGGAATCAATTGTGATTGTAAGTCCAGGACTGCCTGTATACTAGGGATGTGCATGGAAATGTGGTTAATCCAGGCAGAAATGATTGGGGTGGTGGTGAAGTATGGAGAATGGGAAAATGTCAAGCAGTTTTCTTGGCAATGACATGTGTCAACATCTGTAGCAGCAATAGCTGCCAAGGAGAAACAAGAAAAAAGGAATGGGAACATGCAGGAAAGATCAGGAGGCAGTTGGGCCAGAGAAGGAACCCTAATCATCAGAGAGGGAGGGAGGAACAGAAGGGGCTGGCCAGTGGGATTAGGATTGGGCAGCAGAGAGCTACGGGAGGGAAAAAGAAAGGAAGGTGGGTGGGCAGATGGCTGGCTGGGCATTTTATAGGCTGGCTGGGGAGTTCTGGGAGTTGAAACCCACATATTTTAAAGTTGTTAGAGTTGAGAAACCCTGCTGAACAGTATCATGCTCATTTCTATACTGCAATGTTATGCATGTTTCTTCAATTGAATCCATCCTGATCACAGTGATAATAATTCCTTAGGGAGTTTTCAAGTTTTTAACCCTATTTAACACCCCCACCCCCAAACTTAAAGATGTCTTAAGTTATGTTTAATTTCTTATTTAAGCAACAAATCTACCTCATCTTCAGTTTCATTGTATCAATACAATTACCTGAATTGGATTTAATAAGATCTTGAATTGCCCTATCAGCGTTTCCCCCATATTGTTTCCACTCCGAGTATTGAGCAGAATTATTACCGGGGTCCAATTTTCCCCACAAGACTCAGATAGCTGCAAAAAAGAAAAAAGAAAAAAGCAGAAGCAAGCTAGTTAGATCTGTATTGTCACAAAACAGCATCACCCTCTTATTTTTTCCTCATGCTGTTGAGAAATTAACTCTTAAATTGTAAAAGAGAAAATGTACTCTTGCAAATTACTTAAAGAAAAATAAATTGCTTTATAATTTGTAGGAAATACCAATATTCCTGTTCAATGTAAGACTAAACCATGATTTACATACATGATTTATTCTGATTTTCATACGATTGCCATTTTGAAATAGTCAACAGAACCTACAGCCTGTTAGAATTCAAATATATAATAAAAGCTTTCTATGCACCCAATGGTTATGTTTGTCCTGGTAGCGCTTAATATACAGGTACAGAAAAACTAATATCCACAATAGTTGTTAGAGCCTATACTTAGATTGCAAAACTGATCTGGGTAAGTCTTTTAAACCAGAAGCAAGCTAACTTATGTGCAATTTGGACAGAGACTGAAATATAAGATAGAACTTGTTCAAGCAGCCAAATGGATACCTTAAAGGCTGGCTTTTCTTTGATAGAGCCATAGTAAAATCAACCTTTACCATTTTTGCCAATTAACAAGTGGCAACATTTATTTTGTTCCTTGATCTTACTATAGGATGCATTTTTCCCCAGTCATTTCAGGAGCAGCTGAGTAAAGCTATAACCTACTAACCTGCATTTTACTATCTTTTATTGGGGTATTACAGTAGTTGCCATATGCTTGTATCAGAGGGATATTTTAGTACACTATTAACCAACTATTAACCCCACTATTAAGAAGTGCAAGTGTCCTGTTTTATAACATAAATATAAATTATATATTAACTCAATCTTCAAATCTAACATTAAAAAAGCACAATTAAGATATAGATTTTCAACAGAGCAACCCAGTCTATGAAACATAAAGTATGGATAATAAAAGCAGTTTTCACTATCATAAAGACAATGCTTTGTGAACTTTTCTGGAGAAGCTATTTCATATCAAGTTGCCAACAAGCCCTTTATGTAAGTTATATATTGTATTGATGCAAGGGCTTCTTTCTTTCAATTTCTCTTCTTTTATGATTTTTCTCAGTGAACTACAGAATTAATCCAACACATGTATCCTATTTCTCCTCTTTGTTTTGCTCTGACTCAGCTCACAGCATGCAAGACCAAATCCACGCCCCCCCCCCACCTCAATGATTCTGAGCTCCTGGAAACAGACATCAGCTGGAGAACAAACACTGTAGCACTGACCTTGTAGTCATTCATGTGTTTACTTTTACGCATCTGACAGACTTTGAGCAAGTAAGTTGGGGGGATAATGAGGTTGCGAAACTCTCCCAATTCACACTTCCCATTCTTCAAAGAATTCTGCATACAGTCATCATGTACAGTTTGCTGGCACCAAATACACCTGAAAGAAGAACAGTCAGAACAACATTCACAGCAAAGAAAGACTGGTTCCATTCTATTATTGGACACTTACAGAAACAATATCATTTTTGAGGGACTTAACAAAAAATGGTGCAATCACTCAACCACTGAATTAAAGCACATCAACTCTACTCTTTCCTTATTAGTTTCAGATGGATATTGCTGAAAACAAGTCTCTCTTCCATCTATCCTCACTTTTCCAGCAACTTTGCATTATTGCCAACATTGTTTCAGTGTTCTTCTGTGAATGGCAAATCTAAAGTTTTGTGAGACTTTTTATTTAGGAGACTAGGAAAAGATCACTGAATCAATAAAACGAATTTATATATATATCATTCTATATAACCAAATAAAATACTCTCTGAGTTTAGTAAAGCCAAACCCAAGCATTAATACCACAGAGCAGAAAAGGAACAAAAAGAAAGGACTTTGACAACAGCTTGTTCTGACCAAGCATAAATTAATTTATCAATAGTCAGGTAGGTCATTTTTAATAAAGGGAAGCTTGGCTTAAAACAAAACCAACCAAATAAATAAATGGTGGGTTGGCACTATCACTTCAGACCCATTTTAGGAAAAAAGGATTAAAAGTCCAAGAGAAATAATTCCCATAAGCAGCCTCAATATCTTCCAAGCAACAGATGGACAATACATGTTCTATCAAATAAACATGGATCTGTTGGAGGCTTAGTTTATTTCGAAAATCCAAAAAAGGAGCCAGTTAGTCATTGAAAGAGAAAATAACATTTATAATTGTTCATATATATTATTTTGAATGTCACTGGACAATGTTTTGGACAATATTCTAATAAAAAATACTTTCCCCCTGCAGGGTTGAATAATAAGCTAAACCACATCTGTTTGAGTCTGAAAAAACACCAGATGCATTTTTGTCTTTTAAAAGAGAGTAATACAGGATAATCAACCATCAAATGAAGGCAAAAGGTCTTAAGATAAGAATGGGCAGAAGGTAGTTTTCAACAGCCAACACGATACTCAAATTCTGTACAAAAATAACAAATGAATTAGTAATGGATAATTAAAATAAGATTTATTAAAATAGAGATCAGTTCTGCTATATATTCACAGATAGAATTGATATACTATTGAAAAAGAATACCTTTCATATTGCATTATGACATTGTATGTAATTTTAGTTTTTTAAAAGCTTCATGGTCACAATGTGGAAAAATAGTCCTCAATTATACTAAGAAAGGAAAAGACACAGTATAGACATCAACAATTATATCCTCTGGTCCTTTCAAGTGAGGAAGAGTTACAGAAGCCCCCAATCAACCTATCTTCAGGGATATTGTGACTATAACATTCAAAATTCCCAGCAAATATTGATGACGTCTGTTAACTCTGATACTGGTTCTTAATGAAATACAACAGAGGTTTTATAAATAAAGCAAAATGCAGTTGCAATACATGTGAAGGGCCCCAAATTGAGGAAGGCTGAGCAATAGTGTAAAACAAGTAGCGAGTGAAGATGTGTACAAAGTAGATGCTTGTGAAAAACATTCCAGTAACTTTACATAAAAAGTGGTAGCCACATGCTAAATTAAAATTAATATATTCAGAGAACAAACAGGTTTCCTTTTTCCTTTCTTAGAATGCAAAAGGTTTCTTACTGATTGTATTTAATCTACTACATTCTTTTCATTTGTTTTTCAAATGTGAATATCTACAAAATATGGTTCTTTAAAAAAAAAAATAAAGGGAAATTTCTACCCAATAAGACTTGAGATGCTATTTAGAAATCCAAATGGCTTTTGCCCTCAGGAGCAACTCCAGGAAATATTAAAGATATGTGACTCAACCCCTTGTGGCTCTTTTTATACCAGGATTTTTGCAAAGTAGAACTGCATTGTACTTATCTCCCAAAGCTTGTTTCCAGTGAAAACTCTGTTAAACCCCAAGCATCATCAGAGGTAGCTTTAGCAAAATCCTGTCCTATTCTTGAGTCCCAGGAAATTGCAAGCCAAGAAGCATTCAATAATTCAATTCTATGAAAAGCATATGCAAAAATCTCCCCAATGAAAAGATGCCATCCATAATTAAAAAGCGACCATTTAAACAAACTTGCATAAAACACAATGTAATGATCAAGTCCCAGAAATTTAAAGAGGATAAATAAGGAAGTGACGTCACTGTGTTATTTCCTCTACCACTGCCCCCATATTTAAATCTGCAGCATTACCTGTAATCACAGAGCTTGGGTTGTGTACCACATTGTAGTTTGCACACCACACAGTAGCTACACAGTGGAACATTGCCTCGGATCCAATGGTGCATCATAGAAGCCGATCTCCCATCTTGGCTTCTTGGCACAATTTCCTTGCATAGGAAATAACCATCAGCTTTCTTCAGGCATTCTTCATCAACACACAGCCCGCAGCAGTTGCAGAAAGCTCCCTGGATAATATGCTGAGTGCAGACACAGCAATAGGTAGGCTGGCTAAAGAAGTCTATATCTTGCCAATCATGCTTGCTTTTATGTAAGATATCCTGCAGAAGTCCTTGCCTCCGAGATCGCCGAAAACTGCACCACAAGGTGATCATGACTGGTACCATCACTGAACACAGAGTCCAGAAGGCCAAACTCCATTCTGGAAGGAATCCTGAAGATGATTTAGATCTGCTTTCAGCCTCTTCCATCTTCTATTAATTTACTGTCATTCTAGATAATTAATTCAATCATGTCAGGTAACACTAATTTGTAGGCCTAAAATAGTCTTTACTGTTATTACCTCATTAATTGGCCCAGTATAAAAATTACCAAGTGTGTTCATTTCAATTATCTTAATTATCCTATCACTGTATATCAAGAAATAGTTTTTCCTTAAATCAGATGAATCCTTTATCCTCAAAAGAAGAATTGATAGCCTCTTTAGACCAATAATTTACTCCTTTATCCACACTTTATTTCACAATGTCAATTTATTTTTCACGGTAACATCATTATCCACTTATTGGCTACAACCAATGTGTTTCCCATCTTATTAAATAAACAAACAACAACAAAAAACCCAGGTCAACCCCCAACTCAAACTGCAACCACCTCAGCTAAAAAAAAAACACCACATTTTTCTCCTCGCTTCTAACAATGCTATCTTGTTTCTTTCCCTCTTTGTTCAACACAGTGCTAACAGCATTTCTTATTCCTAACCATCAAAGACCAATCATTTGTTAAGGGGGACCCAATCAGCAATTCCATTATATACACATGCATAGCATACTCACAACCGGGATGAAACAGAGCTTGATTTCCCTCTCATTTCCAATGTCAGTCCCTGCATCCCTGAGTCAGGCAGTTGCAGCAGCTCCAGAACAAGTCACCTGAAACAGGAAAATGAAGAAAACCTCTTTTTAAAACGGTCATTCATTCAGCCGGAGTTCCTCCTCCTATCTCTAGCCTTCGCTGCTGGCAGCTTGTATTCATTTCCTTCGTTCACGTCCATGTTCATATTCAATTGGGATATTTAAATTTATTGGGGTTTTAAATCTGAGCCACTTTATTTAATTATTTTAAATTTTATATTGTTGTTTTGTTTGTGTTTTTAAACAGGCTGTACACCGCCCTGAGTCCTTCGGGAGAAGGGCGGTATAGAAATAAAATTATTATTATTATTATTATTATTATTATTATTATTATTATTATTATATTCATACCTGCTATCTTGTACATGTTTGACAAACTAATAAATAAAATAAAAATAAAAAGTGTCTAGGAAAGCAGATCACTTTAAACCAATCGGAATTTTAAAATTCTCCTTTATAACAAGCGTTATAAAGCAACCACCCTGGGAGGCAATTACCCTGCTGGACGTAGGATGGATTCTACTCTTAACCCCTGCACTGGAAGGCAGAGCCAAGGATCCCATCGACTGCCGAAGATGATGGAAGTTGTAGTCCATCTTATTAAAAAAAGGGCGGGGAAGGCTGTTCTAAGGAGCTGCAACTGCTCCCGGGACATCCTCTTCCCATCCCTCAGCCCCAGTCCGAGACGTCTCCCGTCCCTCCTCCACCTCCCCTACCTGGTGCCCGCAGAAAAACAATAGCACTCAGCCGGCATAGAAGTGGGCGACGGCGGCGGAAACGGAAGAGGCGGGAGGCAGAGGTCACTCAACCGGAGAGGAGGGAGGGGGAGGAGGAGGAAGAGGATCGGAAGGGAGGGAGGGTGCTGATGTGGGTTGCTAGGAGACGAGTCAGCCACTCACCAAAAGCGCTAGAATAGATGCAAGATGCTGGGGAGGGGGGAATTTACAGGATTGGGAAGAACAATAATGGGGAAGGGAGAAATCGCTTTGCTTGGCTCGGAAATAAGCTGTGGAGACTAACTGGGTGTGACACTCTTTGAGCTTCATGGCTTATTATTTATTTATTTATTTATTTATTTATTCATTTATTTATTTATTTATTTATTTATTTATTTATTTATTTATTTATTTTTATATGCCGCCCTTCTCCGGAGACTCAGGGCGGCTTACAATGCGTTAAGCAATAGCCTTCATACTTTTGTATATTTTTATACAAAGTCAGCTTATTGCCCCCACAAACCGGGTCCTCATTTTACCCACCTTAAAAAAGATGGAAGGCTGAGTCGACCTTGAGCCTGGTGAGAATTGAACTCGCAGTAATTGCAGGCAGCTGGATGTTAAATGCTGCCTTAGTAGGAGGCATTAGCATCCTACGCCACTCCTTGCTCCTTATTTGCAAGCACGTTTGCTGGAGGCCACTGTTTTTCTATTTCTGTTGCCTTCCAATCACATTTCCTACCATTGTTTTCAAATCATAGGGCAAATCAAACTCTTACAGCTGAGATTCATTCACCCATATCTATTTTTTTTTTTTTTTAAGTTTTGCTTCCTTCTAGACTTGAGGACACAGGATTGTGGATGAAACATTGCCTTGCGTACAATAAGAATTTCCTTTTTAAAAGTGGGACCTGGGTGTATTACTGAGTATGGTGCAGGCCAACTGGTGAAAGGGAGTGAGCGCCATCCAATGGCCTATATATGATACTGACATGCTATTTAATCTGCTGTAGGTAGCCAGTTACACCAGTGGGTATTTTTTTACATGGATTCGGAAGAAGTGATAATGTTGTCCTTTGTTTTAATCCACCCTATGAAGGAGTATAGCCATAAGCTGTTCATAGGAGAAGCAGAGACAATGGGGTGTGGTGCTTTTTTGTTTTTAAGGAAGTCCCATAGATTAAGCCTATGAATGAAGCCACATACTTCATTCTAAGAATATGGGATAAGGCTTCCTGTCAGAAAAGGTGTTATATTCACCCTTCATTTTATTCTTGCTTGTTATATTTTTATACTTTTTCCTTAAGGATAGCCAGAAATAGAAAGAACTACTGCTAAATGGCACCAGTATCTTTTCCATCAGTAGTTCTCTGGATCCAAGCCATTAACAACATCTCTGACCAAGTGCATTTGTAAAATGATTCAGCAAACCTCTAGCACAACCAAAAAAAAAATGGTACAACATATGTTTATGATCATAAGTGACAGCAATGGAAGTTGTAAAAAGACACACAGCCTCTTCTGTAAAAGCTTTAAGAAGACTTTCCTGTTCCCATTGCACCGAAGTGCAGTGTACAGCCTTTAGTATATAGAATAATTTGGAGTAATTGGGGCAGAACAAAAGAGAGAATTCAACACAAGGTTATTATTTTCAATAATAATATTTCCCCCCTTTTTTAATAGAAAGTCACTATGTCTGACTCTCTCAAAGATTTATGCCAGGCTACATTTGCCCGTTAGTTTGAAATGTCACATGAGAACAAACCTAATTTCTTGTATTTATGAATGTTCTACTTTTTAAAATGACTGCTTATCTAATAGTGCATCTGACCAATGAAATGGATAAACTTGTTTCAAAATGGCTAATCTTCCAAAAATCATGCTTCATTTTTCATGGTGCTTTAGGTTCCTATAATAAGTACCAATAAATGGCTCCATTAGACTTTCTGTGTAACATTTAATCCTCAGCCAATTTTACCTTTGCTTGTTTTCATGCTAAGATGTACAGCGTCTTAAGAAGACTTTCTGACTAGGAATTTAAATTTAAAAAGCTAGCATGAAACACCAACTAAGGTGGTGCTGGGCTAAAATAAGAAAAAAACTGGTGTTGGATCTTTTTAATCTGTGAAGTCTGATTGTTAAATTGATCCTCCCTTGGGAACCTATTGCAGTTCTAAACACTCTACTGAAGTCCTTGATGTCACAAAGGCATAATTCTACACATTAAAGGAAGCCATTGTGCAAAGTGCCACAATTGTTTAAGGAGAGGCTGAAGTTTTAAGAGCATATAATGGCTTGATCCATGATCTTCAATTCTTTTTGGTTAGTGCAAATATGTCCGTGCAAGACTCCTCCATTTGACAGGTGTTTTGATTCTGATTGTATTGAGCTAAGCACATATTAGCTAAGACACTTTACTGATCATAAAAGAAAACCATCATCTACTTCTAGTCAAATGTTACTACGAGCAACGATGGGATATAAGAACCTCTTAAGGAAAAAAAAAGCAACATTGAGACTTAGCATTCTGAGACAATGAAACTCAGAAACATCTCTTTTCTTGCAACTCATAGCTATTTTGCCAGCTACAGGTCTGTGTTAACTATTGTGATGTATATTTGCTGACATGGGGAAATTACTGTCATGAGCTCTGTGGCTCATTGAACTTCATTTGGCATCTTTCAACAAATCTGGAAGTCCTTTCCACTCCCCCCCCCCCTTCCTAAAACCAAGCAGCTACAGTCAAGGGAAACTCTAGGCAACAACTTAACCCTTTATAATCCTAGGGCTCATTTCAGAGACTCACAGCTATTTACCAAGTCTATAGATTTCCCTATAGGGGCTTCAAACATCTATTTTATAAGCAGGTCTTTGGTGGCCCAAATGTTCTCAGGTTTCTTCACTAGTTGCAGTTTTGGATACCATTTCAACTTTCACATTTATCAGTCCTGCTGAGCCCAACCAAGAATGATAATTATGCTGCAGATAACCTCTCTCTTGTATATACAGTAATAGGATATAGCTGTTTGGTCTCATAAATCAGGTGCCTAGGTTTTATTAACCTTATTACTAAGTTTGATATTTTGTTTCTACAGGAGATTTGGAGGCCAGGAGTATATTCTATATTCATAATTATGATCAATCACTATCACACCAAGTAATAATGGTGGCAGATCAAGTGTCAGCTTGGGGATTTTTTAAAGCCTTAACCTCCTGCACCAGGTGACAATTTTTGCAATTACAGGCAAATTGGATTTTGGCCATTAGGCTTATTAGGCTTATTTTTAGTTGCTTTAGTCTAGTTAATGTCAACTTCTATTTATCTTCTGCAAGATCGAGAGCACAATTTGAAGAGTTGAGGCATGACTTAGTCCAGTATTTTGAACGCTGCATGGCTACTTTTCTTTCACATATTTGATTTTGGTCAGGCACGTTAATGCTGGTAATTCACTTCATGACCACTTCAGGTTTTTCTCTTGACCTTGAAGATTTATTCAGATTACAAGGGTTTTTTAAATAAATCTCTTGTAAATCCAGAGATCCCACAAGTAATTTTGCAGGAATGGCTAATACATTGAATTTTATTATTTTAAATGGGGTATTTTGAAAAGGATGTTCCAGCCCCTTTACCTTCCAGTCTCCAATATTGATTATGTCTTAATATCAAATAATCTGGTTCCTAATATCTCCTATTTTGTGATGTACTGAGAGCAAAGAAGGATAATTTACCCCTTCTTCTTTTCTGCAACAACTTTAATTTTGTTCGTTATAAATCTGTTAGACCACAATATGTTCCAGCTGAGGAAGCTGGCCAATCTAGAGTTAATTGGAGGTCACCTTAGTTATATAGTCATTATCTAGTTTAATTTCCCAGTTGGCATTCATTTCAGTAACTTTCTTCGGAAATGTTGCTTTCAACCTCACTATGTCCCTAACCAAACTCAGGAGATCTAAACAGCTCACATAGTTACATTACAATCTATAATAGTAGTATCTATAGAAACAATAGTAGCATCTATAGAAACGTCATAAACGTTTCCCTAAATCTTGCTATGATTCTAATTGTATAGCTGCTAAGAGGACACTGATCTCATCAGTTATAAGTTATAAATCCTCTCAAAATCTTATGGAATTGTAAATAAATATTGAAAAATGCTGAAAATGAGGAAATGTGCTGCCTTTCTAACCTCCTGACACCAACTGATTGAAGCAGTCAATTGTAGGAACCCTTCTCTCTTCTGGCACATAACTGCTGCTCAGACCATATTAGCAACATCTCTGCATTTGTGCAGAGGGGATATT